ATTTATATAGCGGTGCTCGATGGCAGGCCGCTCGCTATCTACAAACACGTACACTACGTGGCCTGGGTACTAAGTAAACTACTAAAAGACATCCGCCCCCCAACCACGAGCCTTATGGCTCAAACGCCTAAACTCTCATAGAGCCAGACCCACCTCGCGAAAACGGTGATGCGGGATAAGGGGAGGAGACCATTGAGGCCCTGCTAAACCCCAGAGCCGTCGGACGCTGTTCGGAGGCCACGCAGCGCAAATGAAAATAAGAGAGCACCACCTGGGAGGTGGCAGGGTGTCTTAAGGCCGACAAGCCAGAGAAGCGCCTGCCCGAAACCAGACGCAGAGAGTTAGCGGCGCCACAACCCGCTACAATAGCAGCCGCAAGCGCGAAGAAATAGCGGCGGGCGCAGGTCTTCGAACCCTAGAGCTCGGTGGTGTCAATTCACCATAAATCCCCCAAAAGGAGGAACAACCCTGCCCACAACGATTATCCAACACCTGAAGGGTCCCGGTTGAAGCCAAACGCTGTGGGGTTGTACTTCATAAAAGATGCAATATCCCCAAGAAAGCGGGGGTAATGCACGGAGTAGCGATCGCGACAGCAAAGGAGAATATGCTGACGGGACTGCAAAGCAGCCCCGCAAGTGCAGCCGTGAGGCTCGTTGATCTTGAAGCGACGGTAATATGATCCAATGGGCACGTGGCCAGTTATACACCGGCAAACGCGAGCGAACTCAGTGATACTGTGTCCGAATGTTGAAAGCCAAGGTCCCCCATTGAGGTATGATGGCTGTAGCAGCCGCCCGTCAGGCTGTTGAAGCTCTAAAAATTCAGAGCCTCGGTAGGTTGGATCCTGGAAAGTGGAACTCCACGAATCCAGGACTGAGTGCGCTGCTTGAGAGCGTAGCGTGTCTATAGAGTTGTCCGTCTTGCGACGTCCAATCCTGACTTTAAGTTCAGTGACGTACTTGTGTGCCTCACCATGGATGTCCCACCGCAGAGCAGATGGGACGTAAACAAAGGTAATGCGGCGGAGATCATCCGCCTCAAACCACTCTTGAAGAACGCGACAAACTGACAGGCTGAAAGCCTGACCAGAATGCATGCCAGGGTCAACCGCTCTATGGGCCAAGCCCATAGAGTCAGTAAAGACCATAATGTGTTGGCAGTTTGCCTGCTTAACAGCAAGGCGCACTGCACACGAGTGTAACAACCGTGCCGGATGGGGTGGGGACTTGGCTTCAGCTTGACGGAAAGGGCAGCTGCGCCACCACGCAACATCTGGGTGTCCCCAATTTCGGATGAACAAGGAGGAGCCGGATTCCGGCAGTGAACTAGAGCAAAGGGGGTATGTCGAGTTCGATATTCCGACTGAGGAATCTACTACTGTACATGGGTATTTATGCTATGTAGAATAATGGACCATGATTATGTAATAGATAACTTAGCCGGGACAAGAAGAACAATGAAGGACAATGGGACAATGGCTGGGAGACACAATGGAGTGAGCCGGAAACATGGCTTGCCTCGGAAGTGCCTCGGAAGCGCACGGCTCGTTCCCAGATGTCTCAGAAGCATCCCGGAAGAGCACGGCTCATTAACACAAGCCTTGGAAGCTGGATACAGCCTCGGGAGCCGGATAATTGTGCCGGGAGGCACCTTGTGACAACGAGATGGCATTGAGTTCCGCATCAGGGGCGGTAACTCTGCCAGAGACATAGCGAGTCCTTTCGAGCTCGCGATGTCCCTTGTAGATTATAGCAGCCAAAGCCGCCTGATACTGGTTGGACTGAGGGACAGAGCCATCAGTCGCAGCCAGTACTGTTAGAGGGTTGGCCCTCGCTCTCGCAATGAGCTCGTCTAGATATGGTCACCTATCCTGAGTGGGATCGCGCTCGTCAAAGTGGAGACAGTCCGCAAAGCGGTCCAGTAACCGATCGCCTGGGCGAGCTTCGGGCGCAAAGGGCTCGAAGCTCTCCCATGGGCGCTTGCGAGAGGTAGCGATCTCTGCAATGCGTTCATCAAAGAAATCACGCTTGGCATCTTTACATGCCTTCTTAAACTTGTTGTAGTCAGCGAGCGAACGGCTCAGCTGATATACTCCAAATGTCTCCGAGCACTCGTCCGTCCACCAGGACTTGGAGCGCTTGGTAGGTTTGGACTCGGTCGAGTGGGCAAGCCACACGTCTGAGAATGCTGTTGCGATAGCATCGGCTAAAGCTTCAACGCCTTCCTTGGTTGCCGGGGCTGCGACAGGAATAGCTGCAAGATCCCGGAGAATATCCGAAATGAAAGACTTTTCAGCCTCGCTTCCGGGTTTAATTGTCCGTCGCCCAGATCCGGGCGGTTCAGGACCGATATCAAGATCTGTGCAGATCGGGACATGATCTGACAGACCCTGGAGATCGTGCTCCAATCTGGGCATCGAGATTAGAATCTCAGATGGAGCTAAGAATACAAGATCCAACATGTTGGATCTCTGGTTTGGATTAGGACTGATCCTCGTTGGTCCATGGTTGGAAGATCGTGCCCACTCGAGGCCGATCTGAGATGTGGTGTCCCGCAGGGATATTGCCGTCGACGACTCGCCATGCTCATAGTCATCCCAAGTCATCAACACACAGTTGAAGTCACCAGCCATATAAATGAAAGGTGGTAAAGAATGCACATGAGCAGCGAGGTGCTCAATGGCTGTGTGTTGATCATCAGAATAGACGTTCATTAAGTTAAGGACCTCGCCCCCACTAAAGAGGGAGAGGACGAGAATGTCGCAATGGTCGACAATGTCGCGACGCATAGCAGGACAATAGCGGGAGAGCCTAGTCGAAACGTAGGCGATCACGCGGGGAACTTCCCCTTCCTTAATGCGCACCATTTGCAGCCAGTCGGGATGCTTTGGTGCGCCGATAACCTCATCACCCTCCATACTAGTGGTGGACGGTGCATGTCTTATGAAATTCCAAGGTGTTTCTTGGAAAAATAAAATATTAAATCTGTTTTTACAAATTTCGAGAAGGGTGTCTACGTGTGCATAGGTATGACAAATGTTCTGACAGTAAATACATAGCCCACTATTTAGATCCTGAAGGTTTCCCAACATTGGTCTAGGTTTGGGGGTTAGTAAGTTGGCAGCGAGCAGCGTGTCATGTACCTGACGATACTCAGCCATGATCCACTCACGGTCATAGTGATGGGCCCAGAACTTACATGAAGCCAAATTGGCAGCATGGTCCTTGTGGCAGTTGATGCAGCGGCCCTTGTGGGGGCAGGGCTGGTCGCGAGGGGTGGGCAGCACAAGGGGCTTCGCTTTTGCGTTCCCCTTGCAACATCCAGCATGTTGGTGATGCTCCTTCTGCTCGTGCGGACCTGAACAGATAGGGCATGAGAGTTGCTTCGCCTTGCAGGTGACAGTAGGATGGCCCCACTTCCAGCAACGCTGGCAGAGCGGGACTCTGGTGTGTCGTGCGGTGGGCCTGATCGCGCAGGACCGTCCAGTGAGGAAAATCAGTTGGCCAAGGGCCTTCTTGGCGTGGATTCCCTGCTGGGAGTCCCAGATGTTGCAGTAGGCCATGCATGAAGTCGAGTGCATGGAGTTGCGATCTATCCGAGGCTTCGTGCTCAGATATGCAAATACCTCAGCATGAACTGAGGTGCGGAGGGCCTTTTCCAGTGCCTCCTGGGTGATCTTCAGCCCTTTTGGGTCGAAGTAAGGAACATCGAGAATCTTAATAAAAGATGTCAACGAGGGGAGCGCAACCTCGAACGGAGTACCTGTTGGGAGGCTTTTGCGGATAAAGTTGTGCAGAATATCCAGATCCAACAGGCTGGCGACAGCGGGGGTGACCAACAACAAACTGTCATAGGCACGGACAATGGAGGTGACCTTCAGCATAGATCGACCATCCCTGAGGTACCCGTTGGCTGCACGGACAGCCAACTTGGTGAAGAATTTTGTGAGGTCAGGAGGGGTACCCCTGAACGACACGAGAACTTGCTTCTGGGTGGGGCCCTCAGAAGTGAAAGACGGGATGGACCGATGAGTCGAAGTCTTCATCAGACCCGTTGGGAATGCGGGTGGGGGAGAAGGCCCACATCATTGCAGTCCCAAGCCAGGAGGCAGGGGAGGCATCAGAGTGGCCTGATGGGCAATCCCTGCCCACGTTGTTGGATGGGGCTTGGGCTTAGTAGCACAGTTGATCAGCAGAGGCAGACCAGGGCAGGAGTAGGCAACCTTGCTCTTCTTTTGAGGAGGTGGCACCAGGCGATTGACACCCTTGCACTTCAAAGAAGCAGGGGTGCGAGAAGGGGAGGCCAGGCGACTGAGGTCATCCAGTGCCTGCATGAGGATGTCAGAAGAAACTCCAATGCTGGCACCCTCATCGAGCAGCCCATGGGCAGCAGGAGGAGGAGGCCTGAATACGGGAGCCAGGTGAATAGTCGGCTCTTCCCTGGAGGATGTCTCAGCCTCAAGCATGGAGGCGAGAGAGATATCTGCAAGATCGCCTTGTCCGTGAATCCTGCCAAAATCAGTGCTCATGATAGCGCTCACAAAGGCCGTCATCTGAGCCGTGAAGGTATCGCCCCCATCGATGGAGAGCGGATCGTGATGCGCGGCCCACAGAACCCAGTCTGTGGCCTTTGCAATAGATGTGGTCAACACCTCGAGATCACCTGGAAGGTCCTCAATGGTGTCTCAGAACTTCAAGGTGTATTGACCTAGGAGTAGGTCGATGGAGGGGTCCCTCAAGACCTCCTCCCCTCCCTGATTGCCCTCCACCTCCATCTCCTGGTGTGGCTGGGCCATCCCCAAGTCAGACTCGTATTGGGACGAATGGGTGGAATCTGTGGTGGAACGGGACCTGCGATGAGGCAACGTGTGGCAAGATTGAGCTGGCACAACGGTCGAGTATGCGGCCCTAGTCGAGGTAGGGTCTGGTGAGATTGGCAAGACACCACCACCCCAAGGACGATGAGGTGCTCGCCACTGCTGGTGGTACAGCTGGTGGTGCAGAGCCTGAGCCCCTAGGATGACTCCCAGGGGGTCTCGTGCCCCGACCTCTCGGTGGGAGGTCGGACATGGTGTGTGTATGCGGTACAAACCTTCAGGCAGGGTGGTCTGGTGAGTCGATAAAGCATTGGACAATGTATGAGACGTTGAGCTGGTTGTTTACACTTGTTGACAGGTGGGCATTTGAGAGAAAGAGGTGTGTCTGACTGAGGAATCTACTACTGTACATGGGTATTTATGCTATGTAGGATAATGGACCATGATTATGTAATAGATAACTTAGCCGGGACAAGAAGGACAATGGAGAACAATGGGACAATGGCTGGGAGACACAATGGAGTGAGCCAGAAACATGGCTCACCTCAGAAGTGCCTCAGAAGCACACAGATCAATCCTGGATGTCTCAGAAGCATCCTGGAAGAGCATGGCTCATTACCACAAGCCTCAGAAGCTGGATACAGCCTCAGGAGCCAGATAATTGTGCTGGGAGCCAGGGATGGGTTGTGACACAAGGAGTGAGGCAAGAGTGAGGTTGAAGTTTGTTCTGCTCGTGCGGATATGAGAGAAGTTGGTCGACATGATAGCATTAACAAATGTCACTATCTGGTCTGTGAATGCATTGGCCCCTTCAATGGCTGTTGGATTGTGGTGGGTAGCCTGCAACAACCAGTCTGTGGTTTTCTCAAGTAAAGAGGTCACCACCTCAAGGTCTCCAGAAAGCTCATTGACAGTGCCTCTGAGCTTCAAGGAGTATTGACTGTCAAACGGCTGCTCAGTAACATCTCTAGAGACAACCTTGCTAGCCTGAGAGCCCTCCACCTCCATCTCCTGCAGTGCTTGGGCTGTCCCAGAGTCAGACTCCTCATCAGACAAATGTGCAGACCTCAATTGTGACTGAGTGCTGTGGTGAGACAATGAGCAACAGCAACAAGCTGGGATGTTGGTGGTATAGGTAGCCCTAGTTGAGGTAGGGTCAGGTGCGATTGGCAAGGCTCCTTCTTGCTGGAATGAGGAGCTGCTCACTGATGTTGTGATGAGAGCTGGTGGAATAGTAGGGGGCAGCCTTCCGGAGATCCCAGACAGCTTCCCACTCCGTCCTCTCTTTGGGGGGTCAGACATGGCTTGCTAGTGCGGTACGTGTTAAAACTTCCATCACATGTCTCAACTTCTATATGGGGTTGGACCACATGATTGCACATGACTATGTCCTCACATGATATGTCACATCAGGTGACATCACCTGATTCATCCCAAAGTGGTCTAGATCTATCTCTATTCTATTTCATCTTATCTAGATACATCTGTAGATTCATCTGATCCACTTGGTTACCTTCACCCCATTTGGTCGCCCTTGCCCCTCTACTACCCTTGTGTGTATCTAGGGACCCATTACTTCCTTTCTATAGCCTTCAACACTGCCCAGGTCGCACCAAAGCACCTGAGACATCCATGCACACAGACCACCTTTTCAACATTTTTCAACAGCTTCTCTTGGGACAATGAATATTGGTGGAAGGACCCCACGGACTTTCCCCCCCAATCTTACCACAGTGACAAGTTGTGGATACAGGAAGATGGTTGATCACAGCCCTCTCATCCTGAGCGAGAGGTGGATCATGCCCCATCTCCCCCACCTCAGACATTATCTCTGCAGGCGGCCTCCACACTCTCTGCCCCTCCCACACATGCTGACCACTTGATGATCCAGCAAACTTCCATGACCTTCAACTGACGCATGGCAGAGGCCAGCAAGCAGAACCCACGTGGCCCATCACAGACAGCTCTCAGCAAGCACACAGCAGACGGGTGCGTGCCATTATCATACAACCGTCTACTGGAGAACAGAGGTGCTCCCACTCCCCTGACCATGCAGACAGCACTGCAGCCATGTCATGCACCAGTGCCACCACAACATTACCACCAGCTACCTCAGCATGGAATGCTGCCGCCACAACATCACAATCACAATCCACCCCCTCATCTCCCTTGTCAGAATCTACCTCTTGTGCCTGCCACTTATCATCATCCTCACTTTTTTTTTTGTTTTTTTTGGTCAACAATTTATATAGCAGTGCTCAATGGCAGCCTGCTCGCTATCTACAAACACGTACGCTACGCGGCCTGGGTACTAGGTTAACTACTAAAAGACATCCGCCCTCCCAACCATGAGCCTTGTGGCTCAGACACCTAAACTCCCACAAAGCCAGACCCACCTCGCGAAACGGTGACACGGGATAAGGGGAGGAGACCATCGAGGCCCCGCTAAACCCCAGAGTCGTCAGATGCTGTTTGGAGGCCACGCAACGCAAATGAAATAAGAACAGCACCACCTGGGAGGTGGCAAGGTGTCTTGAGGCCAACAAGCCAAAGATGCGCCTGCCCAAAACCAGATGCAGAGAGTTAGTGGCGCCACAGCCCTCTATAATAGTGGGTCACAAGCACAGAAGAATAACATAGGGCTAGGGTCCCCGAAGACCCAGCCTGCAGCGATTATCCAACCCCTGAAGGGTCTCGGTTGAAGCCAAACACCGTAGGGTTGTACTTCAAAAACGATGCAATATCCCCGTTTTCTCCAGAATAGTGTACAGAATATCTATCACGGCAGCAAAAGAGGATGTGCTGGCGGGACTGCAAAGCAGCCCTGCAAGTGCAGCCGTGAGGCTCATTGATCTTGAAGTGACAGTAATACACTCCAATGGGCGCATGGCCAGTTATGCACTGGCAAACGCGAGCGAACTCAGTAATACTGTGCCTGAAGGTTGAAAGCCATGGTCCCCCATTGAGGTACAATGGCTGAATTGGCTGCCCGTCAGGCTGTTGGAGCTCCAAGAACTCAGAGCCCCAGTAAGTACAATCCTGGAACATGGATCCCCATGCATCCAGACTTGAGTGCGCAGCCGAGAGCATAGCGTGTCAATGGAGTTGTCCATCCTACGATGTCCAACTCTGACTTTGAGTTTGGTGATGTACTTGTGTGCCTCACCATGGATGTCCCAGCGCATAGCAGAAGGAACGTAGATGAAGGTGATGTGGTGGAGATCATCTGCCTCGAACCACTCTTGGAAAGCGTGACAGACTGACAGACTGAAAGCCTGGCCAGCGTGTATGGAGGGGTCGACTGCTCTGTGGGCCGAGCCCATAGAGTCAGTGAAGACCATAATGTGTTGGCAGTTCGCCTGCTTGACAGCAAGGCGCACTGTGCACGCAATGGCATTGAGCTCCACATCAGGGGCAGTAACTCTGCCAGAGACATAGCGAGTCCTTTCGAGCTCACGATGACCCTTGTAAATGATGGCAGCTGAAGCCACCTGATACTGGTTGGACCGAGGGACAGAGCCATCGGTTGCAGCCAATAATGTTAAAGGATTGGCCCTCACTTGCGCGATGAGCTCATCTAGGTATGGGTGCCTATCCTGGGTAGGATCATGCTCATCGAAGTGGAGACGGTCCACATAGCGGTCCAATAACCAATCACCAGGGCGAGCTTCAGGCGCAAAGGGCTCAAAGCTCTCAGTTAAGGTGTGGACATGTTTGTCCACCTCCATGACAGTGCTCTTGACCTTTCCTCGCATGGCTGGGGTCATCAAGGCAGCAGAGCAGGCGTGGGGTGCAGCCCGTTTGAGGAGTCTCTCACCCATCATGGAGCAGAGAGGGTGAGTGTCCGAGAGGGTGGCAACGCGATACACTGCACGTGTTGCCAACTTCTTCAGCATAAGGTGGACGGGGATGAGTCCTGCCAAGGTCTCAAGACCACCTGTGGGTGAGGTGCAGAATGCACCTGTGATCCATAGAGCAGCTTTTCGCTGCATCCGTTTAAGCTGGCTCATGGCACCTTTGTTACGGGTGCCATTGAAGTACCAGAGATGATAACTGTATGTGGCAATGGGAACCACACACAATCTATAAAGGAGGCACCACTGTTTAGGCGAGAGACCTCTGGTGGAGTTTCTGAGCATGCACATGGCTTGCACAGTGGTGAATGCCTTGGTGGCATAATAGCAGACGTGCTCATGAAATGTGAGCCTGCAGTCGAAATAAAAGCCCAAGTACCTCCAGTAGGTCTTGGGCTTCAAAGGTGTAGCACCTGTATGCGGGGCATACCCCAAGTCAAGCGACGGATTGTAGGCATCTTGCCAACGTGAAAAGTGGAACAACTGGTCTTGTTGTGTTCAAGGATGAGTGTGAAAGCAATAAAGAGAAGGTAGATAATTTTATAGGCCTTATGCAGGCCCACATTATTATCATCAAGTTGTTTGGATTGGGCCAAAATGGTCCCATCATCCACAAAGGAGAGGAGTGTCGTGTTGAGTGCTGCTGCTTTGATGTAGAAGAGCTTCATCACTGGAGCAATGAAGAGCCCTGAGATAACAGGCGAGAGAGCAGAGCCCTGCCCGACACCCATGTCCACGGAGCGTGGGTCAGATTGGAAGGTGTTCCAGCAGTAAACTGTGGAGCGACCTACTAAATACGAAGCAAAGAAATCCACCAAGACTGGCGAGAATCCTTGCTTACAAAGGACAGCCATGAACATTTCATGGTTGATAGAAGGGAAGAACTGCGCAATGTCAAAAGCCAGCGCGCTAGTCTGGAGACCCTTAACCCACCCTGCTTGCACGAGATGAGTTAGGATTAATCCAGCATCCTCGGTCGACCTCTGGCAGATGCCACCAAGCTGGTTTGGGTGAAAGATATCATGTTTGACAGCGTCAAACTGTATCCTGTTAGCAATCATCTTTTTGATTAGTTTACTGAAAGTGATGAGGAGTACTATAGGCCTAAAAGCCTTTGGGACTGCGTAGGAGGGCTTGTACGACTTTGGTATGATAACTGATAGCGACTCCTTGAAAATACGTGGCCAATGCCCAACCCTAAGGCAAGCATTAGCCAACACGATGAGGAGCGCAAGGACATGTTTGTCCTTGAGCAGCTCCTTTAGGTGGACCCATGTGACGTGGTCCGGTCCAGGTGCAGAGGAGTTGGAGCACCCCTTAAGGGCACTCAACAACTCATGCTCCAAAAAGTCAGCCCATTCACGGACCGGCTCATCAGGAAGCTCATCTAAAACTGAGGCATCATACTCACGACCAGAGGCTGAGTTGTACGTGCTGTGGAGGGCGTCCCAGAGGTCATCCATATCATGGCAAGGCTGGTCGCCATTGCGAATAGCCTCACAGGGGGGTAGCTTGCGCTGTTTGACCCATTCCATCAGGTCCCACGGGCGCTTGTGAGAAGTAGTGATTTCTGCGATGTGCTCATCAAAGAAGTCACTCTTGGCGTCCTTACACACCTTCTTAAACTTGTTGTAATCAGCCAGCGAATGGCTCAGCTGATACACTCTGAATGTATTCGAGCACTCGTCTGTCCACCAGGACTTGGAGCGCTTGGTAGGTTTGGACTTGGTCGATATCATCATCCTCACATGCTGCCTCCTCCTCCATCCTCTTATCCACAAGAATATTTCAAACCCATCTACCATCAATCCTGTGAGAGGTACTATGACTATGAGCGTCACGCTTATTACGAGCCAGCCTGCTCTCCTCGTCCTGCAGTGCCTCCATATTCACTGCCCAGCGCTCCTCCTGCCCCTTTACTGGATATCCCAAGTCATGTTCCTTCATGTACATGGCATGTGAATCCTGGCCAGGAGTTCGAGTACAGCACTGCTTCTGAGGTCTGCACCTGTATTGCCCCCATGATGGAGGACACTGTCGCTTCTGCCTCCATTCATGCAAGACTTTCACATCTCAAGGACATGGTCTGTGACCTCCAGTTTGACATCAGAATTGTCATTCAGGAGTTGCCATTTGCTGGTAGAGCAAACACTCCTGCCTGGCTTCCACTCTCTCCACCTCCGCTACAACAACAACAGCCTGGGGTTCAGTACTTTGTGGTTCTCCACAGAGTGCTATAGGACTCCACTGGACTCCAGTGGAGTTGGCATATTATCCAGTAGAATTATACTGGAGTTCAGTGGACTCCAGGAGACTCCAGTAAGAAGATATAGTGGAGTCCAGTGGAGTCCAGTAAGAAAGTATACTGGACTCTACTAGAGTGTGATACTGGACTCTTACTGGACTCCACTGGACTCCAGTATATGTATCAAAATAGACTACTACTCAGTACCTATTATACATCAGAATAGATAATAGTCTGTTGAGCAATTGCCCAAGTCCAGCATATAGAGTATGTAACAAGATGCTTAATAATCATTCTGTTTAGGAAAAAGCATCAGGATTTGTAGAGCACCTTTGGTTGACCCTGAATCAAGTTATTTGATGTCATCAGCTGCTGTGCTTGGCAAGAAAAATGCAAAATATCAAAAAAAAATAGATTACCTTTGCAAATTTTAGCATTGTTTGGCTTATATCTTGTTATTAATAGAGCCAAATACTATTACTCAAGTGGATTCAGAAGCATCTGAGCCTAGGGCTTTTATTGCAATTATTTTCTCTCAAAAAAATAATATTTCTCACAGTCATATGACCTGCATATTTCAATTCCCAGTCCCTGTATAGATCAAGCAATATTGTCTTCAAAATCCAATTTGTCACATATGACTCTCATATTGATGGCATCAACAAACTTGATGGCTTTATTACTTTTTATTAATGCCAAGTCTGGGCCTAGCAATCATATATTTATTAATTGTTTCTATTTGAGGCCATAACAGCAAAGTTTCAGAAGCTGACCCTGAAGGAGAAGGCAAATAAAAAGTCACATGACCTGCCATCAATCTTGGCATCAGTCACATTTTTCTTCTATGACTATGACATCTTTCTGCATTGTTCACTGGACTCCACTGAAGTCCTATAGAAGTCCAGTGGAAAATAGACACTCCACTCCAGTAGACTCCAGTAAACTCCACTGGTTCCTGCTAATAGATTTCTACCAGACTCCACTGGAGTCCACTGGAGTCCTGTAGAGATACGTGGAGGAGTGTAAAGACCTTGTTGAATGAATCAGCAATGCATTTCTTAAAGGGGTCAGCAAAGCACAAATGCTATTTTTATCACATCACAGCTAGAGGAACTGTGCATGCACCAGCAGAGCAGAGATTGCACTTATACTTATGCCTGCATATCTAAGCTGGTGAGTGGGTGGTGGCTACATCCTCTTAAATTGTAAAGTGGTTCAGGGCCTTGATGACCTTCATGAATGGATGGGCTATCAATCAATTTGCAAGGGCTATGAGATTACACAATACAGTCAAGGATGCATTGTACACTCATAATACAGAATACATTTTGCTCATTCTCCCCCATCAGTGCCTATATATAAGACGCAGGCATGATGTTGACCCCACATGCCAGCTTAGGAGCAAAAACCTGGCTACACATAGAATCTTATGAGCACACTTCTGATTGGCACCCAACAAGCACCCACAAGAAGATAAAAGTACTCAGGCAATCTGCAGACAGGCTGCATCAAGAAAAGGTTGAGTGTTAGTATACAAGAATCTATGGAATTTTGCAGTTGTAAGCTACTGATCACCACAGAAAATGCGAACACTCACCAGTATCATCTGAAAGTCCTTCAAAGGAGAAAGTAACTGAATGTGGCAGCAACACTTGGAAACAGCAAGATGCATGAGAGCAAGAAGGAAGGGTGTCCAAGTGCCATTGTACAACATCCATGTGCCATCGACAAGGGGAGTCTGCAGTTCTCCTCCTTGAAGACCTCCCTGAGAATTTCCTGTAGAAGATCAGATGTATTTGTGAATGGGATGCAATTGAAAGGCAGTACTTGTCTAGCCTACGTGATGACAATGTCCTTGATGAGGTTGAATGTCCTCTCCTTCCACTTCTCTCTCTTCTCTCAGTGCAGCATTGGTACATTGGTTCTTTATTAATCCAGAGGTTAAAGGCACAAATGCCTCCCAGATATCTTTGGCCTCTGTTATTTTTAAAGATTTGTGCCATATAATAGGGGCTCTTGCAAGTCTCAGATATGCTGGCAACACCTCTAATGAATATCAGTGAATGAAAAAGAACTCAATACCACATACTCACTGTGTCAGCAACACAAGCATGCCACAAGAACCCTCTCCCAGACCCACATTGATTCCCCAAGTGACCAAATCCATTGCCAGTGCCCTCAACACAGCCTCCCTTGCCTCTCTAGACCTCCACTTCTTTCTTGCTAACTCCTGTTTCTTGATGATGTCATGACCTGTCTCCAGCTCCTGGCACAATTATCTGGCTCCTGAGGCTGTATCCAGCTTCTGAGGCTTGTGGTAATGAGCCATGCTCTTCCAGGATGCTTCTGAGGCATCTGAGAACAAGCTATGTGCTTCCAAGGCACTTCCAAGGTGTGCCATATTTCTGGCTCACTCCATTGTGCCTCCTAGCCATTGTTCCATTGTCCACCATTGTTCTCCTTGTTCTGGCTAAGTTATCTATTATATAATCATGGTCCATCATCCTATGTAGCATAAATACCCATGTACAGTAGTAGAGTCCTTAGTTGGAATATTAAACTTGACATATCCCCTTTGCTCTAGTTCACTGCCAGAATCTGGCTCTCTTCTGTTCATCCAAAATCAGGGACACCCAGATGTTGTGTGGTGGCACAGCTGCCTTTCTGTCAAGCTGAAGCCAAGTCCCCACCCCATTTGGCATGGTCATTACAGATGAATATCTCAGAAGCAAGAATCTTGGATCCCTTTGTGCATATAGCAATACCGAGGTTGGAGGCAAGAGGTGGTCTGAGCAGGGAAGAGATCAGAGCTGCACAAACAAGCATCAATAAAAGGGAGCTAGCATCAAATCTGGTTGAGCTTTCACATACTAACTTGTACCTGCAGCCATGACTCAAACTGATCTCACCACAATGAAGTGAGAGTTGAGCCAGCTGTTGAAGAGATTCTAGAGATCAATGTTGATGTTCTGTGTGAAGCACATACCTCAGCTACGGTGTATCATCTCATACAATATAGCAGGCCTATACATTGTGTCATCTCAACCACACTGCGCGGTCTCCAGCGGACCTGCCTTATATAGTACATATACATTGTATTGTCTCATCCGCCTAAGAATCAACTGGCATGCCTTTATCAGCAGTCCTGACAGTCTCGGGGTATACACAGCATGCTGATAAAATGTCTGGTCAGGCCTCGGCATGCCAAGCATTAATAATGCCAATGTTGGGGATGGCACACCCAGTGCCCGTTGACCAACTTCTGAAAGAATGGTGCATGGGATCAGCACCCAATCACCAATTCCCAGGCATGGCAATGCAGTCCCAACACAGTCTCCAGGTATGCACAGCATGCTGATAAAATGCCCAGTTGGGCCTCAGCATGCCAAGCATTCATAATGCCAATGTCAGAGATGGCACACCTGGTGCCCATTGACTGACTTCTAAAGAATGATAACTTCACAATAAATACATTACAAAAATTTTAACCAATCTCAGACTCAAAGAACTTTGTCACGCTTCACAAATGTCTTTATAAAGACATCTGTTATGCAGAAGTGACTCTGAAACAGGCAGGGAATAGTGTGCAAGGCAGTATTTGATGCGCTTCACCCAATTAGGCAAAATATTGATGCCTGCACATCTGTGCAGAATTCTGGCTTCCCCTTTCATTACTTTGCTTAGTGTTGGCTGAGAAAAATGTTGGGTACATTGATAACTTCCTGTAGACCCTTGTATTGTGTGAAACGGGTGAGAACTCGTTGAGATATGACAAATGTGACTTTGGCTACTATAATGCATGGTGCACCCATGTATCCTTGGGCACATTTAGGGCCATTTGAGTTGGCCAAAAATTATGAAATACATGTATGAGAGTAGTGGAACCATTGATAATGACAGAGGGTGTCTGCGTGTAGTAGATAGGGGGGTATAGGTACACCAGGAGACCCACTGCAGATACCCCATTAAATGCAGCTTGGAAGGTCCAAAAAGTATATATGTGAGCACTGCATATTTATTCATGAATTTAACAGATTTTATCATAATTTTATATGGCCTGAAAGCTGGGTTATTGACTGATTTCCCACAAGCTGAAATATTCTATTTACCTCCAGGATGGGAGATATTGGCACATGTAAGGCCATGATAAATGACGATAAATGCATATAAACAGAATGAGGTACTTGCGAGGGCAGGGGAGCATATCTGTGTAAAGTTATTAAGAGGAGAAGGGGGAGGTAGTCCTCCACATCAGTATCTATGTAAACACTTACCAAATCTGCATATTACATCTATTCAAATGTGCGTTTGAGTCAGGATAATGTATATTAGCATATTTCAGTAGTGACAGATGAGGCTCCAATGCCTGGGTGAAATGGTATTAGAGAAAGACCAGAAAATGAGCAAAAACATGAAAATAATTAAAATGAGTACCTCAGACTTGTTCAAAAATTACCAAACTTTGTATATGAGGGACTATCAGTACTCCAAAGAGAC